TGCTTCGTTCCCGTGCATAGAAGCTGTTCAAGGGTTGCAACATTCTGAGTAGAAAACAAGCGTAACATGTAATTGTGTCATGGTAAGAGATGGACTGGCCTAATTGGATGTTTGGGCTGTGAAACAGTTTGCAAACCAGTATATCTAGTTTTAAACCCTGGAATGGAATATTAGTAATCTCAAAACCTTATATGTAAAGAATAATGATAATAATAATAAAAAAGTGGTTTCAGTCGCTCTGAATTTCATATAAATTTCCTACTTATTAACTTGAAAACAAGTTTTAACTTCAAAGCAAACAGTGGTTTCGGTTGCGTTGAATTTCATATAAACTTGCTACTGATTAACTTGAAAACAAGTTTTAACTTCAAAATATAAAGGCTTACTTCCTCTCGCTATAGTTTATATAAAGTGGCGAACAGATAAAAAAATATCTAACTCACACTTTGAACACGTCGTACAACAAATATCAAATTGTACATTTTAGTCAATGACTGTTTTTGTGTTTAAGCGCAAAGCTCCATAATGGACTGTCTGCGCTTTGCCTACCAGGGGTATCGAAACCCGGGTTATTAGCGCATAAGCCACAAAGGTTACCACTGGGCCCTGGGGAGGAGGGGTAGTAAATGGCAAACACCGATGCATACACACACAAACACACACACACGCGCATATTATTACGGTCAAGTTCTATAATTCGTCTAATATATATATATTTATGTTTGTAGTGTCATTCTTGTATGATGCCACTTGATAAATATTTGAAAAAAGTTTGTCCAAACTTGGAAAAATTAAATGTATATGTGAAGACTAGTTAACGTTAGAAGATTTGTACCTGTAACAAAGTTACTAAGGCTACCTGCCTCCAGTCCTATTTCTGAACCTATGGCGATAGGTAAATATAGCTAACCAGCAGAAACCTACCATCAACCATCCATGCCAAGGGATTGACTCTTATAATGTACCCACAGCTTACAGTGCGGGAAATATTTCGAATCCGGCTCGCTAGCTCTAAAACCCACATCTACGTGCCTACGTTGGAGGAACGTAGGTCAAAAGTCACAGCATATAATAATTAATAATCTCACGGGAAAAAATTACGTTGACTTTGGAGGGATAAGTTAAAAATATGTTCACCAAATAACCTTCAAAATACGATATCAATGGCATGTATGTAAGGCGTGAATCATGGGTGCTTAACTTTGTTTAAAAGGGGAAGGACGGGGTAAGGATTAAATCATGAGCGAAACGAGAACTGTTTTTAGGGAAAAAAAATTTTCAAAGTGGGATGACACTTGCCCCTTCTGTCCCACTGGGTAAGCGCGTATAGCAAGAACCTACATTCGGTTTAGTTCTTTTTCTTTACAGGTATAGCACTCAATGTATGGTTGATTGAAAAACCATTTTAGAACTGTTTCATACTTCTTTACAATTACATAACCTGTCTTGTCGTATGTATCTTTGTAATTTTTCACGTAATCTATGTTCATCCGTACGATATAATGAGTGGAAAACAATATATATAGCTTTGTAAGGTACATTCTTATGAAAATGTTGACTTATTTCACATTTTGAAACGTTTCTGTAGTTTAAAAAAATGATTAAAGAGTGCTGTCTCGTGACAGTTTTTATATTTTTCAGCCTACTTTTGTCCCAAAAATGAAAATATGGTATTCAAATTTCGCATCATTATATTCTCTGCCCACAGTTATTTAGTTGCAAGAAGAATAAATGGGAAAATATTTCAATGACGATAACTTTTTGTTTTGCATTTCAGAACAAACAAAATTATTTCATGCAAAATGAATATTAATATAAAAGGTAATCCAACTGTGTCAAAAACATAAAAATGTCAAATTATTTTTCGCTTTAATCACTAAATACATTATATAACTCTAAAATTACTAGTAATTACTTGAATTACTAAAACAAAGAAACAAAAAACGTTATATGGTATTATATCCTTCAAGTACTGTTTACAAGTTATTTTTAGTTGAATTTCGAAATGCGATGTAATCAAGATAATTTAAAAATATTTTTTGGTTTTTGTGGCTCGTGTGAAATATAGTTTTTAGCGCTGAATTTTTATGGAACAAAATGGTCTAACAGTAACATTTTGGTAAATACCAAATCAATATGACTCACTATAGAGTATGCGTATATTTGTCGAGGAAGAAGTTTGAAAATAACATATTTTAAAGGAACTTTTCACATAAGCGGTCGGTATGTTGTAAATAACTACACTTTAAGACCCAGTTCACTGTATATGTGGGTTTAAATATCAGGTATAAGTGACGCGTAATACAGCAATTACTGCCTGCAATTATCATAGCTTTAACTATAATGGGCGGAAATACACCACCATGATTACTTGTGTGTAACTAATAGGGGCTTACGAAGGTGTCACCGCACAGAGTGCCTCCTCTTCAGCTGCAATATAAACAAGTTAACTGTAACTTCACACTAAGGACGTGATCTGGAAGCTAAACAGCAATACGTATGAGCCATCTGCTGTATCGCCTTTGATATATTTTCTAATGAAGTTTAAATTCACGCAAAATTGAGTGGAATAGGCTTAATCATAGTCACGCTATAGTCTGTGCATGTTTCTTTATTCTTTTTGTCAGTTTGCATATTACAGATTGACCAGAAAAACTGAGGTACTTCAGAGAGGGCAGGATAAAAATTGTTTCTATGTTTAAGCGCAAAGCTACACAACAGACCGTCTGCCCTCTGTCTATCACGAATAATCGAACTCCGGATTTTAGTATAGTATGTCCAAAACTCACCGCTAATCCATCAAAAGACGCAAAAGGAACGTAACCAAGAAATAAACTAAAAAAAGGAATAGAAAATAAAAAATAAGAGTATAAAAAAAACACGAAAATAAGAAAAGAATGTAAAAGCGAATATTTGCACAGAGAGAGAGAGGAACGGTGAAACAAAAGCGTGAGAAATAAACACAAAACTGCAAACAGAATGATAACAATCAACAAAAAAAAAGCAATTAAACAAGAAAATGAATGCTGACGTAAATAACTGGTTTTATGCTTTTAAATCCAACATAAAAGATTGCAATATCCTACTGTGATCGGTGATAATGAACAATATAATATTCACATATCATTTATCCATACACCTGCCTATAACTATCTATATCGTTAACGTTGGTAACATAAATAAAACAAGCTAATAATAAACATAACATTATTGTTCAACAAATCATGTATGAAAAAAACCTTTAACTCAGTTAATTACAAAAAAATAAAAATGCTCACTTTTTTAGAGTGAATAACCATGTTTGTTTGTTATGGATTTCACGCAAAGCTACACGAGGGCTATCTGTGCTAGCC